CACAGTTGCGGACAAAATTCAAATTGTTTTGCCAACTAACGAGACGAGGTAGTGGGTTGAATTTTTTGAAAAAAAAAAATCCTGCTTTGAAGAAACTACCGTATCAAGTCTGTGGCTGGGTATCGCCAAGAGCTTTCAAGGACACTTTGAAAGGAGGAAAGGATTACTCCATTGACGCAAAACCATTTTTTTTCCTAAATCTTGTTGCAAATTCCTCCGCTGGCAACTCAGATGCTTATGCGAAATTTGTGAGACTTGTTTTGCACAAGATTATTCGTTATCATTATTGGATGGTTTTTTTTTTTATTGAAAGCTCCGTTTTGAAAAATTCGTAGGGCAGTCATATTATTAATTTTAACGCATGCAAATGTTCCTAGAATACCTTTGTATATGGCCGAAATGGTATCAAGTCTCTGGTGGAATAACAACACCCACAGTGCTAGTCGTGATCGTGGTTTTCCTTTTTGTAGATCACTCACCTTTTAGTTTACTTACCAGTGAGGCACATAAAACTCGTTTACCGTGCTTATTTTTATTGTTCCATAAAAAATTGGGTCTCTACAGTTTTGCATGGTAGAACTGTTTTTGACGTATTTTGAAAGACTATTAGTTTAGGAAGGCTGAACCTTTCATTATCACGCTGCGCAACTTACTTTTATTTGCTTTTCTTTTTTATTGTTTTCGAGTATTTTTGTAACTGTCTGCTTATTGAGCGACTGCTAGCCAATAAAAATAGCAGCGGCATTGAGCTTTGGGCACCTTGTTCATAAATCTTTATTGCTCTTAAATGTACCTTCTTTCTGTCGATAAAATCGACTGAAGCAATTTTTTCAGAAAACGACGAATTTGGCCATCTGACCGTCCTGATTACTTACATTTTACGTTGTGCAAGGAAAACAAAGACACTAACTTCGCCTTAAACCTCATTGCCAAATATCTCCGGTAAGTCATCGGCGACTGCGGTTTTTATGCGTTATTTATGCAAGCGCAAAGGCGCTTATTGACAAGTGCTTTTCAGTGTGTGTGTGTGTGTGTGTGTGTGTGTGTGTGCGTGTATGTGTTTGTGTGTGTGAGTGTGTGTGTATATGTATGTGTGTCTGTGTATATGTATGTGTGTGTTTGTGTTCGTATTTTGTCATCACTTTTAATTCAGCAGTTACAAAAGCAGCTGAAATTTTTTTTAGTGTGTTGCTATTCCCTGTATGCGACTCCCCCACTTATACAACGCTCATGTACGCGTAGATCTCACGTACGGGCACTTGAAGGAAAATGCAAAAAGTTTTGGATGGACAGTGACTTTGGGAACGAGACAAGTACGAAAGCTAAAATTTTAGTGAGAGATTTCAAATTCAGCTATCGTACACATCTATATCACCAATATGAACGCGTTAAAGTTGCAATGCCAACTTAGGAAATTTATTTCACTGAAATTTATGTTCACAGCTAACGAAATGGAGAAGGGGTTGCAGGGAAACAAGATAAAATAAATCTCACATATTACTGAGGAATATTCAGGATAAAATCTTCTTTGCTTGGTACATGTGGTCAAAAAGACCGCCGAGCTGTTACAACACAACGTGTATCTGCGTATCATTGTGACAAGGAATCGTTGGCACTTCTCAACAGAAAACTTCGTGGGATCAGGCTTGGAGATTTCGCTTTCAACACGGAGCCGTGTAAATTGGGTGATAATTGGGGAAATCGATTCAAAATAATACTCAGGTTTGCATCATTTATTTTTGGTTTTTCTTTCTTTAACTTTCAACAGTCCTGATTTGTGGCTACATACAAGCTTATTAAGGCTTTAGATGTTGCGCAAGCTTTTTAGAGCCTTTAGTTGTTGTGTGCTTTTTTGGACTGGGTAAAATAGTTTTGAAACGTGTCCGTTGTAATAGCATCGGAAGTGTCATTTTCACGACATAATTACGGTCCGATTGTAGAGATGTGCAGCCACTTGATGTTGCTGATGTAGCAGCCAGAATTGAGCAGTTCAAAACGAGAGGCTTTATTAATTATTACGGGACGCAGCGTTTCGGTTCGTGTGGCTCCGATACG